CCCACACCAACTCACTTCCTGCATCCCTAAAGTGCCTCATCTCCTGAATCCCCACACCAACCCAGCTCCTGCATCCCTAAACTGCCCCAGCTCCTGCATCCCTACACCAACTCCCACCTCCCTCTGCAGAGCAGAGCCGTGGGTGGCTCGTGGCCGCTCTCACGGTGGCTCTGCCCTTCCTCTTGGCCACAGTGGATCCATCCTGTTCCCAGCTGTCCTTCCAGCCGTTTTGGGCATCTGCAGGCACTGTTGGAGACGAGGAGGTGGAGCTGGTGCCATCTGCCCTGGCAGCCACTCATGGAGCACCAGCCACCTGCTCGGGGAGATGCTGAGCTGCACCTTGGCAGGGCCTTCCCTGGTAATGAAGCATCCCAGTCCCTCCCTGATGCTAATTAGGGGCTGCCTGAGGAGGTGTCGTGGCTGGGGTGGCACTTTGGGACTGGTGTCATTACACCTGGTGCCATGGGCAGTTGTTCTTCTTGATGCAGGAGCAGCTTGGCTCTGATGTTGCCAACAGCTCTTGGCCGGGGTGGGCTCCCAGAGGCTCCTTGTCACCTCCCTCCTTTCCCCTTTTCTTTGCTTGTGGCACAAAGCTGTGCCAGAGGAGGGTTAGGTTGGATATTAGGAAATATCCAGAGGATGGTTGGGCACTGAACAGGCTCCCCAAGGCAAGGGGCATAGCCCCAGGGCTGCCAGAGCTCCAGGAGTGTTTGGACAACGTGGAATTGTTGGGGTGTCTGTGCAGGGCCAGGAGCTGGATTGGATGACCTGTTCTCCAGGCTGTGGCAGTGTCCTTCCTCTTGTCTGGACTGTTCAGAGGGGAGGCTGGTGTGCCCCTCACCTTCCCAAATTAGCCAGAGGACAGGGAGCCCTCCTTAGCATCCCTTTATGCTCAGTTCCCTGAACCAGGAGGTCACCGCAGGTTGGAAGGCAGATCCTCACAGAGCCTCAGGGCACAGCACACCTGACTTGGAGCCGAGGCTCTGAACCCAGGCAGGTCTTTCCCTGAGCCTTGATCTCTTCCCAAAGCCTTTCCAGGCCCAGCCTGGGGCTGAGGAGCTGCCCATGGAATCCCGCTGGCTCAGCCGGGGTGGGAAGCGCGGGGACGTGAATAATTTGTGACGACACCTTTTTGCTTTCCCCTTCCTCTCTAGAAAACTCGTTTCTATTATTATTGTTGTTGTTGTTATTTATTATCCCCTTTCTGCTCCAGTGCTGCTAAGATCCAGGGAGAGGCTTGGCTGGAATTCAGAGTGGTGACAATGAGCCCGAGCCCTTCCCTTTTGTTCCCTGCAGCTCACTGGAGTGCTGGATGGATACCTCACTGAGCTGCCTCTCTCCCTCATCTCTGGCAGCTCAGGAGGTTTGGGAAAGGTCAGCTCCGAGCTTTTTTTGGCTCCAGACAAGTGCTGCTGTCATTGTTTGCCAAATGCCTCGCTGTGGCCTGTCTCTGCAGCGCTGGGATGATTTAACCAGAGCTGTGCTCTCACCTCCCTGCACGGCCCCGCTGCCCTTTCCAGTTTTGAAGCTCAGCCTTGAACAAGTGATAGGACAAAAGGTTTTAAAGTGAAAGAGGAGAGATTTAGATTGGATATCAGGAAGGAATTCTTCTCTGTGCAGGTGGTGAGTCACTGGCACAGGTTGCCCAGGGAGGTTGTGGACTCCCCATCCTTGGAAGTGTCCAAGGCCAGGTTGGACAGGGCTTGGAGCAACCTGGGCTAGTGGAAGGTGCCCCTGCCCGTGGTAGGAGGTGGAATGAGATGGTCTTTAGGGTCCCTTATAACTCAAAGCATTCCATGACTCTGTGATTCCTGCTCTCCCAGGGCTGGAGCTGGTTGGCAGGGAGTGGGAAGGTGTCTGTCAAACACCGGGGCTGTAACAGCTCACTGGTACAACATTCAGCTGATGTGGAACAGGAGGTAAATAAATACCTTTTATATCGTCTCTTTTGCTCACTTGTTGGCATATTATGTTCCTCAAGTGTTTGTGAAATACAGTTCTGGGGGCAAGGATAGACTGAGACTTCAGTTCTTATAAAATAGCAGTTTTCTTTATGTGGCTTGACCCAATTAACTTGATAATGCATTGTGGCCTTTCTGTCATTTACCATTGCTTTTATCACTTCAGATGAAGAGGTTCTTTAAAATATGCAGGTGAAATAATTAGAGGGAAGATCACTTAAAAGGTGACAGGACCCAGTTTGGCTCCAAATCTAAAAGAACAATTTTAAAAGTGTCTTTGAAGAAGACATGGCAAAGCCACGAGCAGTGTTTTCATTTCTTCTGAAGTCCTGTCCAGGGCTGAAAGCTTTTTTTTTTGCCTGCCCAGTTCACAGGCTGGAAACTGTGGAGCACAGGGACCAAAGGCAGAAGTGCTGTTGGTGTAGAGAATTATAGAAACATGGAAACAATGAGGTTGGAAAAGCTGTCCAAGGTCTTTGAGTCCAGCACAGTGTTCACCACTCAACCATCTCCCCAAGTGCCACATCCACACATTTTTTGAACACTTCCAGGGATGGTGATTGCTCCACTTCCCTGGGCAGAGTGAGCCAGGTGGGAAGGAAATGCAGCCAAAAACAGCAGCAAGAATCTTGGGATTGGGGTTTTTGGAGTGGGTTGTGCTGCCCTGAACTGGCTCCTACCAAAAACTTCTCCAGCTTGGGTGGGACCAGACCCGGCAGCCCCTGCCTTGGATGTGTGAGGCTCCTTTCCCACACTCTGAGGCAAGAACAGAAGAGCTCAAGGAAGGAGTGAGTTGTCTTTGCCACCTCCTTTAAAACCCTGGATGTGCTTCCCACCTTGGTTTCCCATCTGGTGGCTTAGGATGGGCACCTCTCCCCATCACCTTCGAGCAGGCACCTGGTTGAACTCTGGGCTGGCTCTGCATCCCACTCATACCTCTGCATCCCACTCATACCTCTGCATCCCATATCTGGCTCTGCATCCCACATCTGCACACCCCAGCTCCCTTCCCTTCCATTGCTCTGAGCTCCAGGGCAGCTCCATCTCAGCCTCCCCTGAGATTGATGGTGCATCACAGGTACATCCCTGCTCCACAGAGCTGTGCCTGGGGGTGGAGGGAACGGGATAAATCCTGCTCTTCCCACTCGGACGCCTCCCCTGCACCCTCTAATCTCGCAGCTCATCTGCATTAAAAAAAAAAAAAATCAAAAGGGAGAAAGAGCAGCAGTGGGAAGTGCAGGAGAGACTATCCAGAGAGAGCTTCATAAAAATGATGAATTGCCTTTAGATATTGGGCAGGAGAGGAAGAGAGTTCCTTTTTTATTTCATGATATTAGCTAGCCTGTAGTGGTGCATTGTTGCCGGCGCGTGTGAGCTCAGGAATCTCGAGGCAGCCGGAGCCAAACGCCCGGGAATTGAAGTGTAAATGAGCCGCTGCTGAGCATTTTATTTTGCCTTTTATGATTTCTCTTTCTCTCATTATGTAGGTCAATCTCCATTTCTAACGTTGGGCTGCGTGTGAGGGGGAGGGCACAGGGAGGTGAGGGGTGCCCGGGGGTGGTGGGTACTGTGGTGGTGATGCCAGTGCAGGTTTAGGTCGGGTATCAGGGAAAGGTTCTTCCCCCAGAGGGTTTCTGGGCACTGACCAGGCTCCCCAGGGTTTGGTCACAGCCCCGAGGCTGCCAGAGCTCCAGGAGGGTTTGGACAACGCTCTGAGGGACAGGGTGGGATTGTTGGGGTGTCTGTGCAAGGCCAGGAGTTGGACTCTGATCCTTGTGGGTCCCTCCCAGCTCAGGATATTCCATGATTCTATGGCATTTACCTGCCCAGCAGGGCATGTTGTGAGTGTCAGGCTGTGCCCGTGGCACACCCCAGGGGCACAAAGCTCTGGCATCTCCCGCTCTCTCTGTCTCTCACCTGTGCCCCCTGGGTCTGGAGACATCTGCCCCCTCTCTCCCTCCCTCCCACTGAAGGATGACATCTCCTGCCACATTAGCAATTCAGATGCTGAACTGGCCTGTGCTGGCTTCTCTGATTAGTGGATGTGATAAAGAGATTCCTGCATCTCCTTGGGAGTTGTGGTGTGGCTGCTTTGCATACAGGCAGTAAATCAAGCAGAGTGTGTGTGTGTGTGTGGGATGATCTGTCCCACACTGAGACAGGTGAGGACGTTTCCTTCTGTGTTCCCTGCCTTCCCTTTCCCTTGCTGGTGAGCAGAAAACAGCTCTCAGTTGTGTTGTGGAGGACTCAGCTTGATCAGAGGGATCCTGGGCAGAGCTTCCTGGAGTGCTGGGGATGCTCCTCTGTGCAGTGGGATCAGAGGCATCTCCCTGCTGCCCTTGACCTCCCTGCTGGGCTGCAGGGCTGGGGACAGACCTTTCTGTCTCCAGTTCATGCTGACAATAAGCAGAAGGGGCACAGAGAGGACAAAACCACGGGGGTGTTAGCTCTTTTTGGACTGTGCTGCACCCCAGCCTTTTCCCTCCCTACCCTCGTGTGGGATGAAGGTGCCTGGCACATCCTCTGCCTCACCTGGCCACTCTCAAAGGGCAGCAGGGCTCAGTCACCAGGTCATGCTGCTCTTCCCCATGGCCTCTGTGCTCTGTGGATCAGGTGCTGAGCTTGCCTGTGGCTTGGCTGGGCACAGGCAGGAGTTGGGAGCCCTGGCAGGGCACACCCTTGTTTTTGTGGCTTTGGGGTGGGTGGCTCTGGAACTGTGGGTGGGTGCCCCCACACCCCTGGAGGTGGGTGTCCCTGGAGAAGAACCCAGCTTAACCCCCTGGCAGGCAGCAAGAGGCAATGTGCCAAGGTGGTGAAATCCTTGCCCTAAGCCAGGAAAGGACCTTGCTGTGCCTGGAGCATCCTCCTGGAAGTCTGGGTACCCTTGAGGGCTGTAGCACTCCCTGTCCTGAGCCTGGCTGGTGTGGGCTGCTCTGCCAGGGAAGGGAAGGGGCTGGCACGGGTGGGTGCATCCCTCTGGACCCCTCCTGTGGGCAGAGGGGCAGTGGCTCACCCTTCTCTCCGTGTCTGTGCCCGCAGTGTGCCGGGGGATGCTGTGCGGGTTCGGGGCCGTGTGTGAGAGGAGCTCCAGCGACCCCTCCCAGGCCTCCTGTGTCTGCAAGAAAACAGCCTGTCCTGTCGTGGTGGCCCCTGTCTGTGGCTCTGATTACTCCACCTACAGCAACGAGTGTGAGCTGGAGAAGGCTCAGTGCAACCAGCAGAGGAGGATCAAGGTCATCAGCAAGGGGCCGTGTGGTGAGTGAGGACAGGATCTCCTCGTGGAGGGTCCAGGGAGACTTGTCCTGAGCTCACTGACATCATCACTGGTGGTGTCCTGGGTGATGGGGACGTGTCTGACGGGAAGGGACACGGAGGGAATCCCCAGCTGATCAGCAGAGTGTAATAAGAAGGCAAAGTGATGGCCAAAGGCTGTTCAGGGGGTGCGTGGCAGCCCCACAGGAACAGCCCACTCCTGGGCATCCCTGATGTCCTGGAGGATGGGAGGGGACACTGAGGGAATCACCAGCTGCCCTGGTGATCAGCAGAGTGGAGTAAGAAGGTGAAATGATGGCCAGAGGCTGTTCAAGGAAGGTAGGGGGGGATGACATCTCTACCTGCTGCCCCACCCCACCCCACCTCCCCAGGGTGGGTCACATCTGCCACAGCTGGAAGTGGGAGCTGGCTCATGCAGGGGCTGGGTGGGCTGATAAAAGCCCTTCCCCATCCTGGCCTTCACCAGCTGTGAGCAAGAAGCTGTGTAAATGAGACCCCCCGGTCTCCTCATCTCTTGAGTAAATTAACTTGACCTTTCCCTCACTCGGCGTGCTGGCTCTGCAATAAATCCACACCCGGCCCTCCTGCTGGGGCTCTTGGCACAGGGGAGAGAGCACTGAGAGATTTATTTAAAATCATAATCATAAAGTGACAAATAAAAGGGGAAAAAAAAAGGGCAAAAAAAATTCAAAAAAAAAGCTGGCAAATTTTGGCCCTTCCTCGTCCCTGAGGAAATTGCTCCTCGAGCTCTTCCTCTAATTAAGGTTTGCAGGAGGTGCCTTGAGGACCCTCCAGGCTGGAGCAAGAGGCTCTCAGAGAGCCTGTGCAGGGAAGCGAGCCTGCAGTAGTGAGGCTCAGAGGTTTAGAGAGGAGAGGAGAAGGGCCAGGTGAGGAGGGAGCTCCCTTTTGTGGGGCTGGGGCCGATCCTGCAGCCTCCCCATCCCGCCTGTCTCCGTGGGCAAGTGTCACCACTCATCCGAGGGGGACGAGCTCTGCTCAGGAGCAGCTACATGGTACTGGACTGAAGCTGATGGGAGGACATCTATTGGTGCTGTGCATCTTTTTGGGCACTTGGAGGGGTAGGGCTGCCTGGCTGATACCGGGATACTTCGGGATTATTTGTCCCATGGGAGGAAGGAGCGTGGAGCGGGAGCACCCTCGCTGTGCTCACGCCTGTGCCGTGCCCCCCGCTCTCTCCCACAGGCTCCAAGGACCCCTGTGCAGAGGTGACCTGCAGTTTTGGCAGCACCTGTGTCCGCTCCACCGATGGCCAGTCGGCCAAGTGTGTGTGTCCGTCCTCCTGCAGCGGCGTTCCCGAGAATCCCGTGTGCGGCAGCGACGGCCGCGACTATCGCAGCGAGTGTGACCTCAACAAGCACGCCTGTGACAAGCAGGAGAACGTCTTCAAGAAGTTTGATGGCCTCTGTGGTGAGTCCTCTGACCTTCCCTGGGGCCTTTGAACAGCTGGGGGGAGAAGGGTTTTAAAAATGTTTCCACCTGGCTTAGGGATATTGAGGGTAAACCAGTGGGAAAGGGGACGGGTTGGGGAGGAAAACGTGGCTGTGCTCCTGCTGCTGTCAGCTCAGAAAGGTCAGTCTGGGCAGAAAAAGGTCAGTTTGGACAGCAAAAAATGTTGGTTTGGGCAGAAACGAGTCGGTTTAGGGAGAAAAAGATCAGTCTGTGTGTGACAGCTTCTGAAACTCTGAGCAAGCCAGTGCTTCCCCCGCAGCAATTGTTTCTGCTCGGGACCCACTGACCTAGAGAGCAATTCCAACATCTGTGCCACCTCCTTTCCCTCCTGCTGTTCGCCTGACCCGCAGTCCCCCGGCTGTGATTTTGGCAGGGAGCCTGCTGCTCACCAGCATCCCAGGCAGCTCCTGCTAATTAAAGCATCCTGCCAGGCACAGATCCCGGAGCACAAACAGTCCCGAGCTCCGAGGGTGGATTCCTCTCTGGCTCGTGGTGGCTGTGGGCACTGGGTAATTAAAAGCAGCTGTATTCATTAGGAAAACCAAGAGATCAGCCAAGACACGTGCCAGACCAGTGTTTGACCCCAGGGAGAGGAGCGTGGGAGTGTGCTGGGGCAGGCTGGAAACCTGGAAGAGCTGGAATTGTGCTTTCACCGCTCCAAGTGGGGCAAGAGGGGTGCAAGCGGGAGGTGTGAAGGAGGTGATGTCACGCTGGGTGCTCCAGGTTTCTAGGGCAGAGAATGAGCTTTGGGCCTCTTTTGAGCACCTTGTGATCTCAGCTGGGCACCAGCAGAAGCTCAGGCAGTCTGGGTTGAGCAGCTGAGCTGTAGAACCTGAAAATTTGGGGAAGAAAGGGGTTATTTGGACTCTGTTGGGTGTTGCTGTAAGGCTTGAGGATGTGCTGGAGGTCGGGCAGAGGCGGGACAGGCAAACCACCTAATTTCCACACTAAAATGGGCAAAGCAAAAGAATTCAGCTGTGACCCTGTCCTGGGCCAGCCTTCTCCATGGGGATGTGGGGACGGCCAAAAGGGACGTCCCTCTTTGTTTTACTGTTGCCTCCCCTTGTCAGCCTGGATTTCAGACTAGTGGGATTAAAGGCTGGGAACATCCCGTGGTGCTTCTGCAGCTGCAGACAATGAATCAGCACTCTCCAGGTGCCTGCTTGGCAAGGAGGGGATAAATCCCAGGGCTCCAGCAGGGATTAGTGGGCAGGAGGCACCTGTTTTGCCCGTGTCTTTGGTGTGGCTGAAGTGAGCTCAGCTCATCAGACAGGGGGATCCAGATAAGCCTAGATTAGAGCCTAAATTTAGATTAGAGCTGTGGGGCTTGGCAGCCTGTGGCCCTGGCTGCTTTCAGGGCTCTTCCAGCACTTTGGGAAGACAGGGAGGGAGTGTGGCAAGAGTGGGATTGGAGTACCAAGCACCCCACAGTGCCCACCTTTGGACTCTGGAGATTCTCCTGGCTCAGGAGAGAAACAGAGGGGAGTGAAGGCAGCTCAGGCTGGGCAAAAAGGCAGGGCTCATCCCATCAGTGCTCCCTTTGGAAAGGGCATGTGCCTGTGGTGTGTGGGCAGCCCAGTAAAAACTGAGTCCTGCGCATGCAGAGCCCAGTGTGAGGGACAACCCGAGCACACGCCGAGTGCCACGGGGGAAGGCACAGGAGCCACTGGGGCAGCCCGGGGAAGGAGCCCAGCCTGGGAAACACCTCCCCGGGCAGGTAATGGCGGGGCCTGACTCCCTGCTCCGCTCACAGACCCCTGCAAAGGCGTCCTCAACGACATGAACCGCGTGTGCCGGGTGAACCCCCGCACCCGGCGGGCGGAGCTGCTGCCGCGCCCCGAGGGCTGCCCGCCCAGGAGGGAGCCCGTGTGCGGGGACGACGGCGTCACCTACGACAACGAGTGCGTGATGGGGCGCTCGGGGGCCATCCGGGGCCTGGAGATCCAGAAGGTGCGTTCAGGGCAGTGCCAGCAGCAGGGTAAGTACCTCTCTGCGCCCCTCCCTGTGCTCCCGACCTTCCTCGCTCGCCGCTCCGCCGCGTCCCGCTTCCCCCGCCATCCCCTGTCCCCCCCGTGTCCCTGGGGGTGCGGGTGTGAGCCGTGCTGTGCTGTGCTCTCCCCCAACCCCCAGACAAGTGCAGGGACGAGTGCAAGTTCAACGGGGTGTGCCTGAACCGCCGCGGCTCCGCGCGCTGCTCCTGCGACCGCATCGCCTGCGACGGCGCCTTCCGGCCCGTCTGCGCCCGCGACAGCCGCACCTACGGCAATGACTGCGAGCGCCAGAAGGCAGAGTGCCACCAGAAGGCTGCCATCCCCGTAAAGCACAGCGGACCCTGTGGTAAGCACAGCGCTGGTTGCCCTCGGGAATACTGGTACCCCCGCCCGCCGGGGCGCCGGTGCCCTCCCGGCATCGTCCCCTTGCCCGGCGGCTTCGTGCCCGTCCTTCCGTGCAGGGAAGAGCCGCAGGTAAGTGTGGGTGGTGCCCACCGAGCAAGCCACAGGGTCTCCTCGGTCTTGTGTTCCAACAAGCCCCAAATATCCCTGTTCTTTCTCCTTCCAGCAGTCCTTGTGTTGTTGTGTGCACGTGTTCCCCCGTGGTCTCGTCTCTGTCTGATGTGCTCAGTAACACGGGGGAGAATCTTTTTGTTGTCTGTGATGTCCAGCTGGTTTCTCTCATCCACCACCACGCAGCTCCCTGCAGCCCATGCCATTCATTCCTCCTCCCAGGGTAGTGCCAGTCTCCAAGCTCCTTCCATGCTCTCCCAACTCCATGCCTGCCTGCTTCTCTCAGCTCCGGGTGCTCTCCATAAGGAACTCTTCCCAGCGTGCCTGCTCTCTGGAGATCTCACCATGTCTTTGTCTTGTCTCTAGGAGAAGCTTTTGACCTTTCCAGTGGATCTTTTGCAGGAGGATGTGATAGGATGGGGCTTTGGGTCCCTAGGATGTTGGGAATGTCCAGTTTTAAATTTATCACACGGAAAATGAAAGATGTTGAAACGCAATCACTGGATTGATTTGTACGAGTTTGGAAGGACTGTTCTTTTCAGCTCCATTTGGTTTTTACTAGCTCTGGAACCATGTCCTGATATTTTAAGCTGATGTTTTTATAAGGTATCAGCTGCATTAAACCTCCTGAAGTACTTGGGAATTAGGCCCCATGTTGCGGATCTGTTTTGTTGGCTTTGTGCTCCTGCTGTAGGTTTTTAATGCTGCCAGACCCAGCTGCTTGAAAACCGTTTGTCAGGCTCCCAAAATCACACTCAATACAATCACAGCTGTTGTTTTGGATTGTCTGTTTGCCTGTGTTTCTAGTGGGTGAATATTTAGGAGTCAGTTCCCCAAGTTTTCCCTACAGGGAAGGCTGGGATCCTGCAGCAGCGGGGCCAGGGGGTGGTTATTTGCAGCCCTGCTGCCCTGGGCTCTCCACAAACCCTTCCCTGTGCCTCCTTTAGAGGTTGAGGCTTCCCAAATTTCTAGGATGAGCAGGGAACTGGTGCTGCTTGTGACCCTGCTGTCAACCATGCATCATTCCCACCGTGTTCCATGGAGGGAGGCCAGCAGACAGCAGGACGTGGTCCTGATGCACCTGCCATTCCTCTCCCCATCTCACTTTATTTTAGCTTCCCACCAACTTCTCTTCCTCCAGGTGAGGACAGCAGATGTGCCCATCTGCTTTCAGGAACCACGTCCTTGTGGGATGGCAGCAAAAAAAGGTCATAATCTGGGGGAATCAATCAAAACTGGGGCTCTGTCTGCCAAAGCCTGGGATTCCAAAGTCCGTTTGACAGCTCCAGGCAGCCCTGTAACCAGCCCCCATGAGGTGTGGGCAGCTTTTTCACTCCTCATCAGCTTAGGAAAGCATCCTCTGTGAGCTCAGTGCTGCTGAGTTCATCCATGCCTTGGTGCTGGGAGAATGCAGGAGCAGGTGGGAAAGGGAGGGAATGAAGGAGCCTGTTAGAATGGGCAGTGTCTTGATCTCCCACACATACCTGTCTAATAGACTCTGGGCTCTCTGCTGTCTTTTCCAGCAGCCAAGCAAAGGAGGCAAAGCCAAACAAAACAGTCCAAGCCTTGTTTTTAATCCTTCTCTATTCTGGCACCGTGATGGTGCAGGTGAGAAAGGAGGGATGGGATGAGGCCGACGTGGACAGGAGGTGGAGGGAAGGAAGGTGTCTGTAGTTGCATCTTTTTTTTCCCCTCCCTCCCTCTATCTGCTCTCCCCCTCCCCTCTTCCTCCCTCCTCCTTTCTCTCTCTTTCCTTTCTCGTCTGTGTCTTGTGTTTTACAGTGTTGCCTGTGTGGAGGAAGGAGTTGTGTCCTCGCATCACCCTCTGCTCCCTACCCGGACATCTCTGCTGGGAGGTCGGCTCTCCCCCCTTCTCCGTGGCCAGTGACAGTCCTGGCCTCTTCTCACTGCTCCCCACCTCTCTAGTTTTGCTTGAGAGCCCCCGGGATGGAGAGGTTGCCCTGCTTTTGCTCCCATCCCTGGCCCCAAACTCTCGCTGCTGGAATGGGAATGCCTGGCAGTGCTCTGGGGTCTTGTCCGGTGCTTGACCCTTCGAGGCAAATGAGAGTGGGAGCAGAGGTGGGTGCTGTGAGCCCCCCACTCCTTAGCAAGCCCCTCTTGGGCTAGTGCATCACTCTGGACTGCTCCTGGTTGATCTTACCTCTCCTTGTGCCCCCAACTAACCCCCCTTTCTTCCCCACCTCCTCCTTCCCAGAGTTTCTGCCTGCCTGGGACTGCGGTGCTCGTCCCTTTGCTCTCCATAGTGTGTGTCCTGCTTGTCTGTGCCAACCCCCTGGGCAGGGGCTCTGCAGGGATCACAGCTTCCCTCTCTGGTGTCCAGCAAAGTACCATGTGCCTTTTGGAAGCACTGAGGAGCTCTCTGTGCTCAGAAGTGGTTCTTCCCTAGGAATATTTCCCTGTGCAGCTGGTGCCGGAGCCCGCGGGGTGTCACAGGCAGGGGTTGATGGGGTGTGATGGGTTCCAAGGCAGCTTCAGAGCCTCTTCTCCACAGGCATCCTCAGCTGGGGCTGGCAGGAGAGCTCAATGTGCCCAGGGGCTTGGTTAGGTGTCTGCACAGAAGCATGGAATGGTTTGGGTTGGAAGGGATCTTAAATATCCTCCAGTCCCTCTCCCTGCCACGGGCAGGGACACCTTCCACTAGACCAGGGTGCTCCAAGCCCCATCCAACCTGGTCTTGAACACTTCCAAGCTGGGCAGCAGGTGAGGGACTGTGCCCTGGAGTCTCCCAAGGTGCAGAAAGAGCGTTTTGCTTTCTCTGTGCCTGGGTTTCTCTGTCTGCAAGATGGAGAAGGGCCAGGAATCAAAGCAGGTCTTGATTCTAGCACAGCTCAGTAGGTCCTCATTGCATCCACCCACAGTGGTGCCAAAACTCCCAGTGACGTCTGGAGGTGCCCAGGGCTGCGTGTGAGATTTCACAGCCTGGGATTTGGGCTGTGAAGGAACTTCATGTGCTGCATCTCTGCCCGTTTCCCTGCTTAAGAAGGGCAGGGAGTGTCAGGGCCCCATTCTCCATCAGGGCTGGCACCTCCCCGTGCTCCCACTCGCTGCTCCTTTGCTTCCCAAGGCAGGAGCGTGAGTCTGGATTTCAGGTGAGGGACTGTATTTGCTTCATGCCTCTCACCTAATTGTGTCCATCAGAGGCACTTTCTCCTTGCAAGCTTTTTTTTCTGTGCTTGGGGGACACGATCATGGGACAGATGTTTCCAAAAGGGAAGCAGAGGCTGATGTGAGCAGCACCACAGGGCTGAGCTCTGCTGCTCCCCATCCCTGGGGACTGTTCACAATCTCCTCAGCTGCAGGGAAGTTGGGCACACAGCTGAAAAGTCTGGCTTGGAGCAGTTGCTTTGTGCCTGAATTGTTCTCCCCTCTCCCCTGTTCCTTTGCAGACCCTCAGCTCTAAGTTTTGACTTGGTAGGTGCTTCCCAAAGAGCAGGATTCCCGATCCGGGCGTGCCTGTGCCCGTGCTGGGCCATTCCTCCCTGGCTGCCAGCATGCAGCCAGGCTCCTGAGGGCTCAAACCTTGCTCTTGCTCTGTGGTCCTGGCAGGGGAGGTGCCCAGAGCCACTCCCGAGGCTCCGGAGGAACCTTTCCCACCACGCTCCCCTCTGTGCCTGCCTCTCTGCCGGGTGCTGGTGGGGCTGTGCTGTGTCTGCCTGTTGCCTCCATCTCCTCTTGGCTGCATTGTGTGTTCCCCACCTGTGTTTTGTCCTGTGTCCTTGTCAGTGTTGAGCACGGATCAAATCAGTGTCCTTTCCTTGCCCCAGGTCCTCAGGGCTTTTGTCTGGAGGCATGAGAAGGGTCACTGGGCAGGGCTGGGTCTGTCTCCCCTGCCTTTTAGCTGCCTGGCTTGGCTCCTGGATGGTGGGGGCAATTCTTGGGGGGTATTCCTGCCTGGGAGGGACCACAGGGCTTTCCCTGCCAGCATTTCCAGAGCTGTACCAGGGATCTGGACACAGCCTTTGCTCTTTGCTGTCAGTGCTGGCTGCTCACCTTGTCACCCCTGAGCGTCCCCACAGGGAATGTGCCACCTGCTTGGCCATGGCTGAGCAGAGGAAATGCTGCTTCCCAGCCTGCAGCCTGTGCCAGGGGGCTTTGCCCATCCCCAGGGAGCCCCAGGGCTCTACTGGAGCCACGTGCCCAAGGACTGGGCTGAAATGAGGACATTCCTCATCCTGCCCCACGGCAGCTCCCTGGGCTGAGGAGGGACGAGGAGGGGATGGGAGAGGAGAGACATGGGTGGTGTGGTGGAGCCAAATGCAGGTGTCCTCTCCAGCCAGGTCTTCCTGGGCTTAGGATGAGCTGTTCAGGGGACAGGCACCCCGAGGACGTGGATCTCAGTGGAGGGAGCTATCCCTGTGTGAGCTGTTTGGCTACTGAAGGTTCTGCCAGTGCTGCTGATCCCACTTCTTAGGGGCAGAACATCCCTGGGACATTGATGGGGTGGAGGAGATGAAGCAGGAGTCCCACTCATGGCATGCAGAGAGAAGATCTTGTGCCTGCTTCCCCTCCCTAACCTCTGCCAAGCATGGGGACCACGCTGAGCCGGGCATGTCGGGGTGGCATGGAGGGGGCAGGGGCTGGGCTGGGGCCAAGGCCAGGAGCTCTGTGGCTTTTGGGGGAGAGGCAGGTGGGGGGGTGCTGTGGCTGGGGCTGCTGGCATGCCTGGCTGTGCTCAGTGCCCGGGGGGGAGCTGGGGGGGAAGCTCAGCTGGCTGAGCCCTCTGCCCTTCCTGTGTCCCCTCTGCAGACCTGGGCACACCCAGCCCCTGCCTGAGCGTGGAGTGCACCTTTGGGGCCACGTGCGTGGTGAAGAACCAGGAGCCCGTGTGTGAGTGCCAGCAGGTGTGCCAGGGCCGCTACGACCCCGTGTGTGGCACCGACAACCGCACCTACGGCAACCCCTGCGAGCTGGACTCCATGGCCTGCGTCCTCAAGAGGGACATCAGGGTGAAGCACAAGGGGCCCTGTGGTAAGAAACGAGCTCAGGGGGCTTCCTTCTCCTCCTTCTCCTCCTTCTCCTCCTTCTCCTCCTTCTCCTC